AACCACTCCCAAGAAAGACAGAAATCCACTGCTTTCAATACCACTGTTAAAGTATCCCCCAGGTCTTCAATAACAGTTCATCTTCATTAGCTACACAATTTTATTGGGCAAAGCGGCTACCAGAGGCTAAGTAAATTGATTCTGTTCTCCCCCAAAATGACTAATGTCATGTCTGATTTGGGCAAGTCACAGCTTCTTGCTCAGTTTTAGTTCTGAAGACGTCTCAATAAAGATCATCCGGGTGTTTGTAACTACCCAGAGCTGTAAGCGTCCCTTTCTCTCACCTGAGCACAGCCCTTGCACAATCTCATTTGGTTTTGGAGTGCTCACAGGAGTAGTATGATGCATCAGAACAAACGCAAATGAAAGAAGCAAGTCATTAATCACTCAGTGAATCAATTTAGATCCCATTTATTTTTAACTATTTTTTGGTGGAGTCAAGTATGAAATACCAGAAGTGTTCATATTTAACTGCAAATGGTGGTTGGGGGGAACTAACGATATGAATATATACACTGTTATAACTCTTATAAGAACACTGAACAGCACACAGAGTTACTTACATTTTGTTGAAAGAAGCTGTTCAAAGGATTTTATGCCCTGAGCTGCCTTTTCCTTGGCATCTTCATTGGAAGGGGGGCCCTAATGAAGATTAGAAGGATTAGATGCGCAGAAAATTTTCCCTTTCTTCTTTGAACTCTACCACGAACTGCTACACAAAAAAGACTGCTCACTCAAACCTGTGAAAACTGTCACATTCAAACTGATAAACTACCTTTATTAGTATTAGCTCACAGATACATCAGAAGACATATGGAAAACAGAAATAGGTACTTCCAAAGCAAGTAAGTTTGTGGTTACACAGCACATTCTCAGCTCAGAGCCAGGCCTGCTCACGTTAGCTGATGGTTGAAGAAGCATTTGGAACGTGGGGACACATATTATGCATGTTTGTACCTTCTTAAGATACACTAACAACCTGGGTTGGATTTAACAGAAAAATTACCAATCATTGCTTGAATATTATATTAATGTATGTATGGTGACAGTTAACATCTTCGTCACGACAAAGTCAAGAGCTACTTTTGCTAGCGATCCTTTAAAAACACATGAAAAAAACAGTGATATTTGCCTCAGAAAACTCAGCCTGAAAGACAATCAGATTTCAATGAGTACTGTAAAAAACAGCACGGAATTGGATTGTGGAGATGAAGACAAACAATCAAAGTTAAGTTAAAACCAAGAATGTTCAAGTGCCCCACGGCTGGAATGCCACTTCTCAGAACTCACTTTTAGATGTCACAGCCAGACATGGGTTGAACAAACATTTCCCAAAGAGGGTAAGAAAGCAATGAGTGACAAAAGAAAAGGCTTCAAGCTGAGGAGTCACATTCACAGTTACACAGCTGAAAGGTAACAGTTTTGACACAGATACAATTTAAATCTATCACTGAAAGACATTTCAGTATGTAACCTAGTTATATTTACTTACAATTCCTGTTGTTTTATCCTTAAAGTATGGCTTCATAAAATGACCCAAAAATATATTTGCTGGTAGATTTCTACCATCTGCTGCCTTTGCTACCTTTGGACCACCAAGCTCACACATGATTTCATTCTGCAATACAAGAGTTAATTAAACAGTATCAGTGTCCTTTAATTTCCTAATTTCAGAGAGCAGTGGCTGAGCCACAATAAACACCCCAGGCAAGGTTCAAATTTGTAGCACCAGACTGTAAATCAGTGTACATGTTAAAGACAGGATTTGCAATTTCCTAAGTTTGTACAGTACACTGCAGATAGTTTAAAAAAAAAAAAATACCAGCTTGCTATAACAAGCTAAAATATAAAATACCCTAGTGGTAGCATTTCTGGTGATAAGAAAGCATGACAACATCAGTCAAACAAGCCATCTGAAAGGCCCCTTAAGTGACATTGGTTTGAACTGCCACAAAGAAAATTAACCTGATTCCTGGCCAAGCAAACTGAGCACTGCATCAGCATATGAATAAGGGACTACAACTGCTGCAGCTGCTTTCACTGCTACCTGTGATGGATTAGGAATGTCCTGGAAAGTTTTACTGGGCTTGATGGACAGGGGAAGATGGCAAACAGCAACCCAGAAAAGAGCAGGAATTAAGATTTTACTCCTGTTTTGCTCACCTGCTGTTCTTTGTTTTGTGCAATGAGAAGCTTGACTTCCTCAATCTTTTCCTGGATAACTTCCTGGTACACATGGTTCATCTGCAGACATGTTTCTGGATCCTGTGGCAGACTACTTTCAATATCATCATCACTACTGTTATCTTCTCTTTCCATTTCCTTAAAGCAAATAAGGCATTTTAGAGAGGAGGGTGGGGAAAGAGAAAAATGCTTGCTTTAAAAGCAGATATGTAACAATTATTTTTGTAACTCAATACTTCTATTATCTTACAAAACTAATTTTGAAAATATCTGGAGGCACCTAACTGTTTGTCTCTCCCTAGCAGTTGTTTTGAACGCTCCCAGGCAGAGCTACCAGCCCTGCCTAGCTCCCCTTTGCCCCGCTCACTAGTGCAGCCTGCTGCTGTGTGAACCAAAGTCTGACTGCAAACCCTGCCAGCATCTGGCCTTGTGACATCAACTGCAAAACTCTAAGTAAACTGCAAACAGCAGTACTTTACACTGGAGCTCTCCTACCTGCTAAATGTGTACTTCAGAACCACCCCTTCAAACTTCCATCTCATTGGTGCTTCTGCTGAAGTAACTCTTCCCTTACATGACTTAGTACCACATGTTTCAGACACAAAGCAAGGCTCTGACTGTTTCAAAGTGCTCTGCACCTGGGTCCAATCTGCACCAGCAGATATGTCTTCACAAGCTAGCTTCTCCTTTCCTGTGCTGTACAGGTGTTAAAGACACTTCTCTGCTAAATGTTTTTATATGAAGTCTGAGAAGGTATGTTTAAAACAACACCAGAAGTAAATAGATTTGTAAGAAGGCTTAGAAGCAATTTGTCCTTCATGTACAAACTCAGCATTCTGCAGGTGCAAGGAAGTAAGAGTTCTTGACCACAAGCTGATGATTTCTTTCTCATGGGCAATTTGCTCTGCAGCCTCCCCAGAGCTGGTGTGTTCCAGTGACAGAGATCAGCAAGCACCACAACAGGGAGGCCTCTGATCCCTGTCATTTCTTTTCACATGAAGTGTCTCTATTACATGTGAATAACAAAGTCCCAGGTAGGAATAACTAAAACTCCAGATCTAGTATTAATCCTTCCTGAGCTTCAAAGCCAAGCCAGATGTCTAGACCTCCCCAGAGTAAAGTGAAATTTCCCTTCCTCCCGCTCCCTTCAATAGACAGATGGAAAGACACTCTTAAAGAGAAAATGGTTACCATTTCAGCATGAGAATCTGAGTCATCATCTTCACCATCATCTGCTAGACAACAAAAATACAAGAATACTGATTGCAGTGAGATAAAAAAGGCTCAAAACCAAAGACTTTTCATTAAAACGCACAGAATAAAGCACCACATAGCATCTCAGATATGACCTTTAGAGTTTTTGGATACTGACAATATTGTCAAATAAAAACAGTATTTAGTTATACTCCACATGTTCTTTTTTGTTCTAGGGTAGGAAAAAAAAAAAAACAGCTCCTGATACCTATAGTAACAAATAAGCTGCACCTTGGTCCTACACATCACAGCAAATTACAGGCTCCACAACATGAAGCCAAGTGAACATTCCAACCCAACAGAACCCATACACTTTGTAAGCACCGAACAGCCCTTCCACGCTCTCCAGCAGTATTTGGTTTTGCATTCGCTGTGGCTACAGACTTCTGACATACATCATTCAGACTTGCACGATCAAAATATAGATGGATAAAGTGACTGTGACAGCCACCATAGGTATGGATACCTGAACTAGTACAACCCTCTATCTGCTTTGAAAAATAAATTTTTGGAGGCACAGGCAGGCTGCGAAATGGAGTGGCTCACACAGCAAAGTTTGTGTTGCCCATTCAGGCGGCACAGAGATTTAGCTATTGACAATATTTGGTGGGCTGTTTCGTTTCATGAGTCAGCTCATCCCTCAGGAGGCCCGATAGCCCTCTCTACCTTCCCCGTGAGCTCGCCGCGGGGTTCATCATGAAAACATGCAAAACACCGGTGCCAAGAGGCTTCTCCTGCAAGGACGCTTGCTAAGGAAAGCCCTGAGGACACGCCGCGCCACGAGTCCTCCAAAATTCGTTCCCAGCACCGCCTGGGCGCAGCTCCCAGCAGAAATAGTGGGGTTAATATAAAAACGACGCGAATGCGGCCAGTCGCGCGTCTGACGAGCCAGAGCAGAAGCACCGCGGGAGGCAGGAGAGGGGCGATCCCGCGCCCCGCCGTACCCATACCGGAGCTGAGGCTGGAGTCGGACACGGCCACCCCGATGTCGGCCCCACCGGGCTCCAGGCTCCGTTCCAGCTCTTCGATCTCTCGCCGAATCTTCTCCCGTTCCGCGTTCAGGTCGAGAGCCGCGGGGGCCAGCGCGGCCTCCGCGCCGGGGGGGCGGCGGGCCCCGGCCGGGCCCGGCCAGCGGGACATGGCGGCACGGTGGGCTCCCGGGGCCGGCCCCGCCCCCTCGCCCTCCCACCCAATCGCTGCTGAGCGCCTCGATCACCTGAGCGCGCCCCATCCCCCCCCACACACACGTGACGCTGCGCAGCCAATAGAACGCGGCAACAATGCGGGGCTGGCTCACGTGGTCCCCGCCCCGGGATCCTCGCGGCATTTCGCCGCCCCCCAAAAACCCCGGTACCGAGCGCCGGGACTGCGAATCGCCGCACCGAGGGGCCCAGCCCCTTCCCCTCCGCGGCCAGGGGCGCCCTGAGGGGCCGAGAAAGGGAAGAGGGGTGGGTCCCAGTGCCCAGCCTGGCGGGGAACGGGACGTACTCTTGTCCGTTTGGGTTTTAGCGATCCGGTGGAGGCGGGAAAGGCGGCTCCACAGCAGCGCCGACGAGGCTCGGTACCAGAAATTAACTTTTAAGTAACGATTTCAGCACGAAAGCAAAGTTCTCCGTTTGAGTCCGTTTTGTTGTTTTACTGTCCATCTTCTGACGTTTCAGAAATTCTGTCTATTGATTTAAGGAGATCGGCGACGAGCTGCAGGGATTCTGCTCCGGAGAGCAGCTGCCTGGAACACGGGAGAGAGATGGTGTTAGACTGAGGGGGAGAGGGTGGAATAGCCTGGCAGCATTTTGGGGGTGTTTACCCATGCAGTGTGATTTTTCAAGCAACAGTTTATCTGCACTGAAGACTTCTTTAAGACCCTTATACTTCAAGAAGTGAAATCTAAGACTTTATAATGGTTTTACATTAAGTAAAAAAATAAGACTTACACAGTCTAGTTATTTTTAATACCTAGACTTGGAGGAAGATATATTGCAGGTACATAACAACATGGACTAACTGATCTGGTGTACAGCATACAAGAACCTGAGTTTCAATGCTAAAAAAAACACTGGGGACCTTTAGTTGTGACATTAGTATTTAGACAAGCCTCAGGGACAGCGTTAGGAGAGTTGTCTTAAAATAACTCACTTGATTGAAGACCGGGAGTTTGTTATGACCGTGAGCAGGTTCTGTAAGGCAAGGTCAGCGTTTTGCTTTACCACGGACAGACTTGCCGACTGGCCCGACCTCAAGGCTTCATTCTCCATCTTGTAATTCTTCAGCTGAACCTAGGGAGGAAACAAACAAAAGCTTTCTATGAAAATAACCACAAAACTCCAGCAGATACAATTAAAGTAACTCATTAATACATCCATACAGCAATTTATGATGCACAACAACTAATTAATAAACTCCGTATCCAGATTGCCTGGAGAGAATATCCTCACAGCTCTGGAGAGCAGACTGACAGAAAACTACACTTTAGAAGCCTTTATTAAAACTGAAAACGTACACAGCATTTTCACAACAGCCAGCAGCCCTCGAGCCTGCTTGTTTCACAGAACCAACCCAGTGTTGGAGTGGCGTGTTCCAACTCAGGTGGCGGGGATGGAAGCTGTGACCTGACACTGACGCGATCACCTCACGCTGCGGGGGCTCTGCTGAGCTATCTGCAATCCCTCTCAAGGTTCTTTTCTTTCTCTGTCAGGCATCTTCCTACAGCTAAACACCCGTTTGCCCTGTTGCGTTACGCCATTCACAGGTGCCAAACATCAAACAGCACTTGAACATCACACGAAACTTCAGCAAAATCGTAAGTGAAGTACCACACATTGCAAAGATGAAGTTAACAGTCTGCATAGAGCTGGAATGTTCTAGTCTAGAGCATCTTCTATAGCATTCACCAGGAGAAGTGAGGCATAGTTACAAATTTTCAATGTCCTTTTTATAGGCTCAATTTCAAGATGTCTTGATTTCAGCCCCAATACATTCAGGAAAGCCTTAAGAATAACGCGTCGTACCTGAAGTAACGCATTTTCCTGTTTCAGTTTCGTAGCACTGTTTTCTGCTTTGACAGCCCGTTTCTGAAATAGAATAAAGATTATTTATACCATAGCAGGGCTTAGGACACAGCAGACAATTTGAGCTACACAGACATGCATAATTCTATCAAATAACTTGAAGTCATATGGTTTGTGCTGTATCACCTCATGTTCTGAATGTTTTACAAGATGGGGATAGTGCCCCCCGGCATGTCTGATCAGCCATCTCCTCCCCATTTTTCCTTTCTGATATCTTCAAGTGCCACCTGCCATGTCTGGATATTACTTTTTTTTTTTTTTTCCCTTGGACAAGAGGAAAAGGTACTCAGTATAAATAAGCAAGCAGGAAAAACAGCTCTTTGTTCATATAGGAGGTGTTTTTGGAAGGCTCCAAAAAAGCAGCTGAAGTTGTTGATGAATCCAGATATGGTATTAATGCAAAGACCTCTTTATTCTAGGTAATGAAAGAAGTTCTAGACTGGGACGCAGTCCTGTTATAAAGGGAAGACTCTGAACCCATGTCTGAGCTGTTTAGTGCTCACATGGGTGAAGGAATCACTGCAGCTCCCCTCTCTCTGCTGGGGGAGGAAGGAAAAGGAACGGAACTGCACTGCTTCCACACAAGCTTCTGGCACTATGGCAAATGCTAACACTTACAGTCATCAGCTGGAGATTTTGTTCCACGTGCTGCACCATTGCTTCCAAATCCTGCGTTTCCTTTTCTTCTTTAATTTTGTTTTCCTCAAGCTTTTTTTCAAGCTTCCTCATCCTTAAAAAAAACAAGAGACAATGTGCAGTAAGCACTTGTAACATTAAATACTTTAGGAAGAACATTCTAGGGAAGGACAAAGAAACTCATTCTTTCATGTTATAAGAAAAATTAAGTCTTCCCACAGAACTACACTTCTAGGCTGTGGCTCAGGGGATTTTTTGTTCAACACCCATTAGCATTAATGGGAATAATACAGCTGAATGCAGAAAGGCTGTAGAGAAAACAGGGCCGTTCACAATCAGTCCAGATAAGGGTAATTTTGAAACAAATCGTTACCCCATCACCGTGGAAGTACCAGCTGCCTCACTGCAACTGGTACACTGAGTGCAGAGGGTTCACATGGGAACTTAAGAAATTGCCATCCGAGATGGGTCACCGGGTTGTTTAACCTCAGAAAATTCAAGTCTCCCAATATGAAGTAACTCACCAGCAAAAAACAAAATGCTTTTCTTGCTTCAAAGGAGACAGATTAAGATTATTTGTTAACCTGAAGTTTTATGAAATGCATCCTGTCGAGTCCTACCCTCATTGTCACTAACCACCTAAACTGCATGAAGTGTAAGCCACACAAACACACTCATCCGATGTCAGCTTGCTACTTACTCTCCAAGACTTTTTCAATAACAAAACCAGGTTTGTTAAAGCTTTTCAATAAATAGCATAGATTTCAACTACATTTTTCTTCTTTAAAGACGTTGAGCGTTTCCAGTGAGTACCTCTTCTAAGACAACTCCTTGATTATGTGGTTACTTTCCCCAATATTGTGGCTTACGCACTTGTCTGCTTGAGTTTCAGAGAAAATCTGAAGCTTATTGATCTTGCTTCGCAAACTGGCATTCTCTTCTTTTAGCTAAAAAATAAAAAGTCTCATTAGAGATGAGGGTGTGGTTTCACAACAGTACTAACACTCCAAGACCAGTGTCTGAAGAAACATTCAGCTTTAACTCTAGTGCTGGAAAGTCTTGCACTTTCTATTACATTCAGGCTTAGCTTTGCACCTAGTTTCCCCCTCTCAAAACCACTTAACTTCACTAACCCTGCAGGGCACAGAAATGTGGCACTGAAGAAACAGCACGTATGTGACTAATAAAATGCTGTTAATTCTAAATTAATATGACCTCAGGGGGCAAGAGCATGAGGAAGTCACCTGGGCCATGCCAAAACCAGTGGGACAGACAAGGTACTAGACCTGACTCCTGCTGCAGAGCAGTTTTTCAGACCTACTTCTCTCACCCTAGCTGCTCTGACAAGCCGCGTTCAGCGCAGTCCTTGCTGACCGCACGCTTGGACACCGAGTTTCTGTAAAAAGCTGCTACAGGAGCTCAAAGCTCACTTGACAGAAGACGGAGCCTGCGGGCAGCGATTGTGTTCGCCCTGAGCAAGGTGCCGGGAGGTCGGCCGAGGTGCTTACCTCCTCGTAGCTGGGCTGCCGCAGGGAGTGAAAGCCCGGCCCCGGGGGGGCTCCGAAGGCGGCCACGCTCGGGCCCTCGCAGGAGCCGGCGGAGGGCGAGGCGGGGCCCGCGGCGGCGAGATGGGCCTCCTCCACCGCCGAGGGCTGGTAGCTGCCGCTCCATTCCTCATCGTCCTCCGCCTCTCCGGGAGGCACCGGATCCGGGAACAAAACGGGGCCGAGGCTCGGGCCGGGCCGGGCCGCCTGTGGAAGGGAGAGCGGGGCTGAGGTGGGCCCGAGACCGGCGCCTCAGCGTTGAGCCGCGCCTCCGTCCAGGCCCTACCTGGCGGCTGCCGCCCGCCTCCTCGCCGCTCCGGGCCTTGCTGCGGACGAACTCGCGGAACGAGAAGGGGTTGGGCTCCGCCGGACTCGGCGCCGGCAACCCCCCCGCCGCCATGTCCGCCCCACTCCCGGCGGCAACCGGAGGCGGGGCTTCGCCTCAGCGCGGGCCCCGCCTCCCCTCAGAACGGACCAATTAGTGAGCAGCCACCCTCACCTCACCCAATGGCGACCTCCTCGGGCAGGTGGTGCCCCGCCCACCGATCCCTCGGGGCCACCGCGGCTGCGCAGTGCTGCCCGCCCCCGCGCCGGCGAGGCTACCGGGTGACGGCAAGATGGCGGCCGCCATGGCGTGGCTGCGGCGGGGCGCTTGGGGCCCGGCCCGGCGGTGAGCGCTCCCTCCGTTATTTGGGGAAGGGGAGGAAAAGGGGGAAAATGGGGTTCCCGGCCTCGCTGATCGGCGCCTCCTGTTGTCCCGTAGGTGTGGGCTGGCGGCCGGCCGCAGCTACAGCGGCGGTGCCGCCTACCCCAGCGTGTCGCTGAACTGCCCGCTGCCCGGCGTGCCCAAGGCGGTCTTCGCGGCGGCCGAGGGCCGGGAGCGATTCGAGACGCGGGTGACGGTGCTGGAATCCGGGCTGCGCGTCGCCTCCCAGAACAAATTCGGGCAGTTCTGCACCGTGGGCCGTGAGTACGGCTTCGCCTCCCCCGGGAGCCGGGCCTGTGGGTAAGGACCGAGTGGGGGGCGGTGTAAAGTCACGCTGACTTCTTCTCTCCTTAACGCTAGTTCTTATAAATTCGGGATCAAGACATGAAGCGAAATACCTCAGTGGCATCTCTCACTTCTTGGAAAAGCTGGCCTTCTCTGTGAGTACCGTACGCAGCGTGGTGCGAAACGTTAAACCCGGGCAGCAGCGAGCGACCGAGGGCAGGGCCGGCTGAGCTCGTTAAGTAGGTGGTGATGGTATTCCTCGTTAATTATGCTGACTGTAATTTTACTTTGAAAGTCTGCTGTGCTTTCGCCTCCAAGGTAAGTGAATATTTAGCAAACCCATTTGGCTTAAAGAATGTAGAAGATGACGCTTGTTCGGGGCTATGCTGAAGGACTATAAACAGTTGTTGCTTTACTAATTAACAACACTGGTATCTTTTTTTTCTTAGTCCACAGCTCAGTTTGCCAGTAAAGATGAAATTCTCCTCACCTTGGAAAAGCATGGAGGCATCTGTGACTGCCAGGCATCGAGGTGTGTTGCTCTTTCTCTGTGCTCTGTTACCCAAGTGGCGGTAACACCAGCAGTAGTTAGAGTCGCTTTTTCCAGTGTGTGGCAGAAAAAGCCACTTTTTGCTTCCAAGCAGCAGAAATCCATTTGTGGTGACTGCTAAGAAGCTACAAAAATGAACCTGAAAGGTTTATAAAAGTAAATTCTGTTTCTTTTTGAAAGCATTTAATGAGTAACGGGCAAGCAGCTTTATCTGTGATTTCCTCATGCATGTTTGCTGAATGTAGGTGTGACTTCCCGGTGCAGAACCCGTCTGCTTGTGTTGCAGGGACACCATAATGTATGCTGTTTCTGTTGACGCCAAAGGCCTGGACACAGTGGTCAACTTGCTGGCTGATGTAGCGCTACAGCCCAGGTTATCAGGTTTGGAAACATAAGTCTCTGTCTCAAAAAAAGACTCCTGACACATGACTTGCTGTTAGATTTCAGAATTCTTCATTACACTGTGCTCATCAAGAAGATATCATATAGCAATTAGGTATTTTGAATGGTGATTGTTATCTCTTGCATTTTCTTATTACAGATGAAGAAATTGAGATGACTCGAACGGCTATACGATTTGAGCTTGAAGACTTGAACATGAGACCTGATCCAGAGCCTCTCCTCACGGAAATGATCCATGCGGTAAAACACTGAAAAGTCTATTTTGCATGCAGTCCCCTGTATGAGACATGCTTCATTCTCCTCATTCAGTGTTTCCTCAACTTCAGGATTTATTTTAGAATATTCTGAAAACAGATTTTTCTGCTACTCAATTAGATTTCAGTGGTGAGAGGGACAATTTTGCACTTTGAAATCCTACATTCAACACACGTGAAAGATTTTAACCTGAACTAAAACCACCTATAACTTACCTATGGGTGACAATATGTTGTTGAGTTACACTGACTTTAGTAAGTAGTGCTCAGCCTTTCCTCTCTTACATGTCAAACAGGTAGGCAGAATTCTAAAACAGAAAGAGGACGTTTAGGTAGAGGGGGGTGAAGGAATATTGGTTACTTTAATGCATCTGTTTCCTTTTAGGCAGCCTACAGAGACAATACGGTTGGACTGAACAGGTTCTGCCCGGTGGAAAATACTGACAAAATTGATCGAGAAGTCTTGCATTCATACCTGCGCAACTACTACACGCCAGACAGGATGGTGCTTGCTGGGGTGGGAATCGAGCACGAGCAGTTAGTGGAGTGTGCGAAGAAACATCTGCTTGGAGTGGAGCCGGTGTGGGGCAGCGGGCAGACCAGGAATGTGGACAGATCTGTGGCTCAGTACACAGGAGGCATTGTCAAGGTAAAAGGAAGGTGGAGGTGGGTGGCATTGTGCCTCTTCCTGTCTGTTGGAGGTGGAGATTTGGATTTGAGCTGATTTCTCTATAGGCTTTGCTTTTCTAAAATTGCATACGGTTCATGGATATGAGCCAAAACTGGCCATCACAGCCATTATCTGGGAGACAGGTTAATTATTGGGGCTGTATCAAGCTGGATACAACAGAGATGAAAATGGGTCCTAATAATTTGTCTGCCCTTCCCACAGGTTGAAAAAGATATGTCAGATGTGAGTCTGGGCCCTACTCCCATCCCAGAGCTTACCCACATCATGATTGGGTTAGAAAGCTGCTCATTTTTGGTAAGTATCAACCTAGAATCCTTTATTTTGGGTGCCCTGTACTTGAAAGATCCCAGAATACTGTGCCTCATATGTAAACATTTGCACTCTTGCTGCTGATCCTGCAAGTACAGACGAGCAGCTTTTTCACTGACAGTTTGATGAAGGCACTGACCTTTACGCTCTTCTCATGCCATGTTTCTTTCTTCTTCTCCCTCTTTACTCGTCCCAGACCCTTGAGAGCTCTGCTATTAGCTGACTGAATTTCTTGTTGCAATTCAGGAAGAAGATTTCATTCCCTTTGCAGTATTAAACATGATGATGGGAGGTGGTGGCTCTTTTTCAGCTGGAGGGCCTGGCAAGGGCATGTTCACCCGACTGTATCTCAATGTGCTCAACAGGTTGGTTTGCCTTTCTGTTTAAGGGACAGCAGACACAGTCTTCTCTAGCAGGTTCACATGGAAGACTTCATCTTCTGAAAGCAAACACCCCCAGGTTTTGCATCAGCTTATTCTGCTTGAAACATGCAGGACTGATTTTGTCAGTGGGCACTGTGGGAGGGTGAAAGTAAAGGGTAGAAGTGATCAGGAATTCTGTCTTCCTCCACTAGCGCAATCCATCCATCATTTAATCAGGGGATATTAACAGAATTGGCAATAGGTACCAGTAATACTGGTCTGTATTGTTCTGGGTTTGGTCTCAAGGATGCAGGGGGAGAGAAGGAAGTAGATGGCACGTGCAGAAATTGTTAGAGGCAGGGATTGGCATTTCTTACTGGCACTGCTGAGAGTCCTGAAAACGCATGAGGAGAAGACTCACTGTCCATGTTTGCTTAATTTTTACATTAAAATTCTGTTTTTTAAATTTCTGAATACTCTTTGTACACTCACAGGCACCACTGGATGTATAATGCAACCTCTTACCACCACAGTTACGAGGATACCGGTCTCCTGTGTATACATGCCAGTGCAGATCCAAAACAGGTATATAGTCCTGTATTCAAAGACAGGTGTCCTTAAAAAGTACTACTAGATAGTAATGTTAACAGAATAAGCATTGTTCTAATCTTCATTTAATTACCTGGTTTTCCTAGGTTCGAGAGATGGTGGAAATCATCACAAGAGAATTCATTCTAATGGCAGGAGCAGTAGGAGAGGTCAGCAGCCTGACTTGCAGACGGTCTTTGAGCTGAAATAATGCATTGCACTGGCCTTGCTAGAATGATTTTTTTTTTTTGTAGATAAGTATGTTACATATTTCTGTAAACAAATATCATAACTTTAGCAACACCTTCACAAAGAGGAAGTTGTTTGCAGAGCTCTTATGTGATACCTTGTATTAGAGAGAAGTGGCCAGACATTTTCGAACATCTGTTTGTATTTGCTGCTCACTTACAGGTAGAACTTGAGCGAGCAAAGACACAGCTGAAGTCCATGCTCATGATGAACCTTGAGTCTCGGCCAGTTATCTTTGAGGATGTGGGAAGGCAAGTGTTGGCAACAAACACAAGGAAGCTACCACATGAGCTCTGTGCCCTGATCAGTGAGTACACAATGCTTTTCCTTCCCTTGACTGAACTGTAGCTACAGATGGGGCGGCGCAACTTGTAACACAGATGAATTGCCTTAAAAAGCCCGGGGCATAAACACCACAGATAGATACTTCAGACTGATCTTTGTGATTGCTTGCAAGCTAGTACAATGCTTATTTTTGTTAGAAGGAAGGAAAAAACAGAAGCATGGTAGGGAAGGACTAGAGTTAGGGATTGGTTTTCTGAGCATGGGGTCTGACTCATCATAATAAATCTGCTTTGTGCGATTTAGAATGTAGTTGTCACAATTCTGACTTTTTTTTTTCTTTTTTCCCTGAAGGCCAGGTAAAATCTACTGATATCAAGAGAGTGGTTGCTAAGATGCTCCATAAAAAACCAGCTGTGGCTGCACTGGGTGACTTAACAGATTTGCCCACTTATGAACACATCCAGGCAGCGCTTTCCAGTAAGGATGGGCGACTCCCTCGGGTGTACCGGCTCTTCCGATAAAGCAGTGCATCCTGCACGTCTGACAGACTTGCTCCTTTTAAAATTTGTTTTTGAGATTATATTATTGCTGCAAGCCCTTCCCCCCCATCTTTCCAGGCATACTGTGTGAGAACATGGAGCTATGCTACAGCTGAACAAAGCTGCTTCAGAACACGGGACTGTGAAGAGCTCGTTATGTTGGGCTTAAAGGTCCTCCCTGGCTCTGGATGAGTACTCTGACCCTCTGAGTAGGTTACAAGTGAAGATGGGTGTGTACAGCCTTCTCTTGGCACCGGGGAGAACACAGCAAGCCAAAATATTCATCACTGCAACTGAAAGCATCTATCTGCAAAGTCGTCAGTCACTGCTGCGTGTTACTACTTAATCCCATCAGCAATAGACACTCACATTGGAGGCCCTGGAGTGTGCCCTTCTCTGGGAATGTGGTGGTGTGTTAAAGAGCTGGGCTTACATAGCTGAATTCAAAGAATACTTACAGCTGTTACCAAGGTGAACAAAGACTTGGTTAAACTGAATTAGGAAAATACCAGCTACTATCCATGTGAAGTTAGGCAACAAGTTTCCTGCAGTCCAGGTTTTGTTTCAAGCATCACTGATCCATTTCCTCAGTGTAATTTACCATCTCTAGTACTACTAGAAGTCACATGTCTGGAAGTAACTTCATAATTTTGCTAGTGGTCAGAGGAAAGTAGACCTGTGGCATAACTAACAATTTCTGGGACAGCCATCTACAGAGATACTATGCATAATGATAGACACATTGCAGAATTAAAGCAATCCTATTCTTTAGGTTTCTCACTTGCAAGTGAACTATGCTAAAGAATAAAAGTTTTACTCCAGAGTTACATCCACACAGGCACTTATTAAAGGAGTTGCTGCTGCACCCTGCTTTCTTCGGATTGTCACGTGGATGAACTTAAGGCCTTGCAAAAAGAAGACATAATTGTCAGTCTGAAGCAGAGATGGAGCTCAGCTAGGAGTCAAGATCAGCAAAATGATGTTCAGAAAGCTCAAGATTGGGGCTGACATGAAGCTAAGTGCCATGCATTTGCTATACTGAAGCAATGGAGACCTAAAAGGAAATAAATAAAACATGCAATTTACATAATCCCCTAACATGGGCTTAAAAATGTAGACAGCTGCATCGCAGCACTTCACTGGCTCAATGTGCACTGTAAGGAGCAATCAAACTGGGAGCAGAACACTGAGGCAGCTATTACCTGCTTTATCCCCATACCTTTCCTCATACATCTACAAGAAAACATTTGCATTGCTTCTTGTGGAACCCACAGTATGGAAATCCTGTTCAGTTGTTGTGTATGTTTGTAAGAAAATAAAGAGACCTCTAAATCACTGGAGCAAGTAGTAAGAGTTCTGAAATTCATCAGCTCCTGGCTGGGTTTCTTGAACTGGCAGGTGAAATGTGCTTTCTTTGTTCAATGCAAATGATTTCAAAGAAATCTGTCCTGCTTTTCCAGCTGAAGACAAGTGGCTCAGGTCACCCGAACACTTAGTGTGCGTATCACAGTCAAAGAACTCTAGTGCTGACAAAGCTGCAATAAGAGCCGGTTCTTATTTCAGGTATTGCATTAATTTATTTTTATTCCTTTAAAAAGAAAGGAAATCCAAATAACCTGATGGCTACAGACAGGTCAGTGCCATAAACGTTTGTACCGCAGAACAGAAGCTCTGTCTTGGACAGGTTGCATAGTTAGCAGCACTTCCTCCAAGTTGTTTGCACGGTGTTTTATGTATTAAGGTGATTAATGATCCAGCCAATCTGTGCCCATGAAGAGTTTTTAAGTATTAGCTGTACTTAACATTTTACCAGTGCCTTACTGGTCCACATAGTATGTTTAGCCTTACGACAAACACTATTCAAAAAGAGCAAGTTATTCACAGTTCACTGAATTGAAAAAAAAAAAAAAATTAACTGTAATCAGAGGTAATGGAACTGCACTGATGTGCCTTGCTGCAGTTTCTCTGCATACTTCCTTAGTATACTGACGACATCATAACCACTTTGGTGAAACATTACACAGTAGCTGTACTTAGACCATTATTTTCAACTCAGGTATCCTGCTGCTGAAGGCAGGTAGTGTTTTATCACCCCTGGGCAGGGCAAGTGAGTTAAGGATGGGATTGTTTCAAGCAGTCTCAACAGCCAAATACATGGTGAGAGAGATTGGTATTTACCCCCTAGTAACAGAAGGCCGGAAGAGTAATTATTGAAAGGCAATGTTTCTACACTTCAAATGTACAGGAGTACATTCACACAGATTGTGCTGTAGAGGACCAGAGAAGCCCAACCCAGGACCACCATCCTTACACAAAACTGCCCAAGTCCCCTAACTGGTCCCTGTTACACATTTTACAGAATACTGTACACTTGGCTACAACTAAGGAAAAAAAAAAACAAAACAAAACAACTCCACAACATATGTAAGCTAACCAGATAAAATCAGACAAACGAAAATTGTCACCTGTCTGCAGGATTTTCTTAGGTCCCCTGCCCCCTGTCATGCCAATTCCAGAAGCTGTGCCCCCTGTGTGGAGTCACCTTGGAACCAAGAGACTGCACCCTCTTGCTTCCACAGACTGTGTGGTTAAAAATAAATCAATCACATCTGTTGGGAAGGATGTCCTAAATAACTGACTCCATGTTCTTCAGCAAAAGCACTTGAGCTACATGGATTAGCTCATGCAAATGAGTCCAGGATGAGGTTTAAGACATTGTTCACAAGCCACAGCAACTGCCAGAGGTGCTTAAGCAGACAATTCCCTGCCGAGTTTGCCGTGGCGTGAAATCCTCTTTCTGGGCACCTCTAACATGAGCACTGCAGAGTTCTCAGCTCAGGAAACGCTACATATGCTGCTGGATTTTTGGTCCTTTTGCTCTTGCCGTTTCTGAAGTTCCCTTGTAATCCGCCTCTTTATTCCGATTAAATAGAGTTCTCTGTCAAACTGCCCTGCAGCAAGTGGAATGCTACAATATAAACACAAGCAATTAGATCAGGGTACAAATACATTCTTCTTGTCTGCCCATTTCCCAAATAGTTCATACAACAAAGGTCAGAAACCTAATTTTCACTTTCTTAAGGCATTAAGATACTGCTGTGGGAGAAAATGGGTAAAACAAAGTTGTTCTTCCACAGCAAAAAGTTAAGGTTTTTCACAATACATTTAAATGAAGACACTATTGGTTGTAAAAGGCAAATGTACTTTCAATTTAAGCATGAACATGCCTGCCTTCAGAAGGGGCATACAGAGAGGATATACTTTATGACCCTAAACCAAAAAACACTCATTTGAAAATCTAAACTAGCTTACCGTTAATCTGGTGTACTTGCTGGTATGGTTCATGCACAACAGTTCTTACCTTGGTCTGTTCCAGAGAGGCTGGAAGGAAACCCTAGCAGGCCAGCTTCACAGCCTCTGCAATACTTGTATTAAATGGGTATTTAATACCCATAAATGAAAAAAAAAAAAAAATCACAATTCTAATTGTACTGCTGATCAAGTGCTCTGAGAAATCACCCTTTTCTAGATATCCGGGTCTTGAAATCCCTGACCATGCTACTCACAGAAAAGAGACTAAATTTCAGTCACACAGCCAAGTTTTCTAACAAGTTTTAGCATGGCAACCCACAGTGGGACATTAAGAAACTTGAAGGATCTCAAAATACTCCACTGACATACAACTATGTTGAAATGCAGCCACCACTGGGGAGAGAAAACTGCATCGATCCCAAAGAGGGAAAGAGGGACAGAAGAGGAAAACTGTCCTCTTTTGGACAAAATTGTGCTGATAACAAAAACAGATCACTGCATCTCAGATGAAATAGAGATTTACGGTCAATTGCAATGGACTCCATTTATCTCCCTCAGGAGGATTAAGGGACGTGGCAGCAGGGATTTCAGATGTCAGTGCAAGGTTTAAGCGCTCCTACTGCTCTGACCACTGAGAACATATATAGTTTAAAAACCAAACAGGCTTCAGGGTGCTACGTGGGACAAACTCTATTTCAGGAACTCTCCCAAAAGGACAAACTCTGAACAGGAGCATATCCTCAGGATCACCGGAGCCATGTGCAATCATAGAGTGGCACAAGGAGGTACTAACTTGTCTCTGCCAGGCCTCACTTTCACACGAAACAAGGCAAATACAGGCCGATGGTCTGAGGTTTTGATCACAGGACAAGATGAGTACTTGACAGCCTGGATGTCATCTCTGTACCGACTGCGGTATACAACTCGATCCTGGGAGGCAGAGAGAGAGGGGAGACTGATGGTAACTCCTTTTGCACAGCCACCCTGGAAAGAAGCACTGGTTCACAAGAGACACATCCACTCATCTGTCATGCTCCATGGAATAAAGTGTCTTGGCCAGGGATACATTCATGAAGAATGTGTGTCTGATCCCAACAGTGATTCTGTGCCCAGCTCAGAATGCACAGGAACAGGACATAAGGCAGGGAAAGTAAGATCAGCAGCCTGGGCCAAACTCTCCCTGTGCTCACAGATCCAACAATCCTTTCTTCCAAACCAGTTCCACATGCCCTGTTGCCTTTCAGCAACAAATCTCAGCACGACTGTATCTCATGCAGACCAGCTGTGGAAAGCAGATTTTTCTCACAGGTGAGAATCCCCTTTGGAGGCAGATGAGAGGCTAAGCAGCCCTTCCAAGCATGCTGCTCCAAAATCATCCCTTACCGTGTAGGAAGGAGTTCTCTGTTTGGAAGTGGTGTCATAGCTGTCCTTTCCTATGTCAAACTTGTAAGAAGGACGGAAATGAATGTCAGCTTCTTGGAATCCTTTGAAAATAGACCCTGTAAGGGAAGGGGAGAACAGCGTGAACAACCAATTTCTCCTTCCTAAGACCTCAACATACTTTCTGCATTTATTCAACACTGCTTAACTAATGCTGGCTAGAAACAACAGCCATGTACATACATGACTAGAAAAACCTGGGCTTGGGTTCCAGAAAGGGAGCAAGCTCAAGTTCTTACATAGTGAGGATAAAACATAGCCAGTGGCTATTTAAACAAAGAACACTTGTTGCATGCACTTCCCCTTCTACTGAAAGCTCACGATGCTTTGCAAATGCCAGGTATTCAAATCTAAATGCCCTAGACACTGCGACAGAATGATGTCCAGTTTATAGAGGAGTCAGATGAAACAGAGCAGTAAATGGCTTCGGAGATCACACTATATCTAGAAAAATGCTACAGCAAAAAGTCCCTTGTACAGACCGGCAATGTATTTGACAACTGCTGACTTCCTTTCTTAGGGAACTTGACAAGAGAAATCAGGAAAGATCTCTAGGAAATAAGGATTTGGCTGTAGTTATTTTTGTGTGTGTTATTTTTGTTCCTGGAGACTAGGGAGAAAAGCAGCTGTCCCTCACCTCTACTCATTTCACTAGTAAGCTGGTCATATGCCAGTAGCTTGGACACATCTGTTTCTGGGTTCTGGTTCAAGATGGAATCCACTGTCTCGCGATCCTTATTTAGTCGGAAGTTGAAGTCACCAAACCAGAATACTTCATCAAACCGGGTTGTGACGTCACCTGCAAATTCAAGCCAGAAGTGTCAGTATAAAAGTAAACATCCTGAAAAGCTCTGAAAGCAAACAAAAAAATCCCAAACTTTTTTTCTCTGAATCTCCTCTTGACTTTAGAGGAAAAATTAAAGTATATGATATAGTTACATGCTCATTAAAATGAAACTCACTTAACTCTTTCCAAGTGAGAGCTGTATGATGCACAGCTTACTGATAGTGCTGCTAGATATGTTCAAGGAACAGGCATAAATTCTTTCTTTTTACTACCAGGAGATATAATACTTGAGCATGTTTTCTGCCTGTGACCATCACAGAATGTGGTAATAAAAAGACAGTAGAAAATAGAACAGAATTTTTTAAAATCATAGAAAAAGTTGAAAGGAGACCAAATTATCTATAGGACCTAAAAACAGTATGAACACAAAAACCTAATGCTACATGGCAGATAAAGAGTAAATTCATCTTTCTAGAAAAAGGGCTTAGCTATACATCTAGACGTCATGTTAACAGCACAGTATTAAGAAACAGTAACAGAATTTGGCAAACAACACGCTGATCTGTGTATATGCAAATTGAAACTGTTCCTTATCTAAGTTTTGAAATAAAGTAATTTCTACTTGTTCTAGAAAACACTTGCAAAGTGAAACACATCCATAATATTGATAAAAATTACACTGAAATTATCTTATTGCTGTTCTGAGAAAAAAATACATCACACAAAAATTCTTTTAGAATTTTCTCTCTCCCCCTCCATTTCAAATTTTTCTCTCAAATTCCCCCCAAAATTATGCCCCAC